AAATAAATTTGAATTCAAATAAATGACATGTAATTCGTTAAACCTATTAGAAATGTGCTATAGTATAAAATCTTAAGATAAAATTTCTAAAACTGATATCTCTTTAAAAAGGTTAAAATTTTGGCTATAATTAAGTCTATTAAAAATTTAAATAAGAGAAATTGCAATGGAAAAACCCTGCATAAACAAAACATTGAATTTCGGAAGAAATCTCGTTTGGTGAGAATGCTCTCTCTTGTCAAAAAATACAAAATAAACTGACCTCAAATAAAACTCCAAGGACTTCGAATCAAATAATTAAGGAAACTACTATCACGTTTAATATAAAAGGAAGATTTATTAACTAAACAATAAAATTACAGCATCGCAGTTCCAAAAAACAAATCTCACACTCACTCAAAAAAACAATTTACATTCTAATTAGTCACCATAGCAACCACAAAACTCTTCTCGTTACCATCTATAAACTGATATATAATAAATAAATTGTTTAACAAAAAATACGATGTGTATAAGCACATAATATTTTACACTCTGGTTATTTCAGTTTCCGTTTTTAAAAGCGCTATATGTTGAGCCATCTCAACTAGATTTGGCATGCGACATTTTTAGCGGCAATCATTGGTCGATTTTCTAGTGTTGCCATTTGGGGAATAGTAATGAGGCTTTTTTTGTCGCTGTGTAAGAGAAATATATATATAGATTACGTTATAATAAAGAAGCAATTCTTTTACTTTCAATCTCTCAATTTAGAAAGCAATCAAGATAAAATATGCAATAAGGCAGAATAAAATAAGAAAAATAAATATTACAGGAAAATACCTTTAAATTTGGGATAAAGAAATATTTGTTCCATGGAAAATGATAAGACTTTTGTTTAGTTTTGAGCAACTACTGTAATATTCGGCTGAGTCATAAATTCAATTTTTAATGGCTACCCGGAATCAATTGGGTAATCAATAAAATTTTTACCGGGTACTTTAACAGGCTGGCTACAAGATTTAGTTTTTGGCAGTACCCGGATCTGGCAAAAATTTTGGACCCAGCACATATCTAATGTGTGTAAGACCAAAAAGAGCAAAAACTGCCACGAAAACCCTTTTACAATAGCTTGTTATCGGGAAGTTTTTAATATCCATGGCTAACAAGTTTTTTTAATAGATATAAGATTGTTTTTTTTTTCAATCCATTATAAAACAAATAGTGATTAATAGTTCATAATTAAAAATAGTATTGTCTTGTTTTTCACCTCGCGAAAACTAGCTATAAATAAAATGTTTTTATTGCCAATTTTTGTCTTCAAGCTAATTCCCCCTATATTAAACATATAAAATCATGAAAGAAAAAACGTTTTAAGCAATAATGACCAATGTTTATCCTATGTAAAGTTTGTTTCTAAATATTTATTTTGATCGTTTCCACATATTTGGTGCAATTTTCAGCAACTTTTCTCTCATTTCATTCAACTATTGTGTCATATTTCATCATGATTAAAAAAGGAAAAGATTTGTGTATAAAAAAACATAAATATACGGAATAATTTTCATTTATTTACTGTTAGATAACTCGGAAATGCGTTTTATTTTTAAATAAATGTCTTTATTAAAAAATAAATTTAAAAAAAATTATGAGGAATTTGTCATTGAATGAACGTGACTAATTGTCTGCGAGGGATAGTGACAATTATTTGAACGTGAATGCATTAAATATGCAAAGTGCAAGTTACAACGCTTTATTTGCTTTTCTAATAAAAAATAAAACGGATATAATAAATGTATTTTTAAAAACGTAAATAAAAAGTTCGTTCGTTGAATAGTTTGTTTGAAAACAAAATCAGCTTCTTTAATCTGTAACCTTGATGAAATTAATAAATTTTGAATTGTTTACTCGTCTAATGTTAGTTTACTAGTGTACTTAAAGAAAATGCAAAATATCATACCCTCCATGGCATTCTTGGTTTTATATATTTTAATATTATTTTTAATCTCGCAAACACAAGAATAAATTAAACTTATATACAAAAAAGCAGATATTCAATTGCTAACGTTTTTGAAACGTAAGAAAATCTGGCTTCATTTAAAAAACTTTTGCTTCAGTTTACAAAAAAAAAAAAAAAAAAAAAAAAAAAAAAAATGAAGATCTTCCGCATAGCAGCTCAGATCTGTACTTTTGGGAATTGAGTTAAAAGATTATTCAATTTTTTTTGTTATGAAAACGAGAACTTTTTAGTCAGAAGAAATTGGCCTTTTTAAGTTTTTAAGCAACAATTTTCGGGACAACAAACTTGACTTAAAATAATACTAGTTACNGTAAATATTTAATCTTATTTAAAACATAATTATTTTAATTTTTATGAAAAAGGGGGGTAGACTAATAAAATGTACGTACTCTAAGGGCGTACGTAAGACCTTATGTACGGTAATGTACGGAGCGGGGGAGGGGTTTAAAATTTCTCCATTTTTGTGTACGTACTTTTTGAACGACCCCTATGATAATTTCGTTAGACAAGGGGAGAAAGAAATTTCAAAATTCCTATTTGCTGATTTTTAAAATTTTTATAAGAATTTTTCCATTTTTTAAAGGTACTTAAACTATTATTATGAAAAACATAACTTCAACACTTAAGATAATAAGTACTATAGTATCTCACTCAAGTATTTGTTGACTATTTCAAATAGTGTTTCAAATTGCATCGAAATGCTTATCAATACGTAACTAATTACTTGTTCGATCAACACGTTGCCCGCTCGCTTTTAATTTGAGGATCGTGCTCAGAAACACATTTTCTTTTCAATTTGTTTCTGACTGCCATATGAAATTGGTCGTCAGTCGTATGTTTGGAAGTGAAAATTATTACATTTTGTCACAGTTTTTGTATGAAAAGGCTCCACAGCTAAAACCATCATTTGCTCCTCAAATTTCTTTCACTTTCCAAAAAAGAAAAAAAAATCAATTGATATACTATCTGGAATGTTGCAGCTTTTTTTCGATGTGTCACTGCACAAATAACAAATGCTGTTGTTGTTTCTAAAGCCACTTGCCATTATACTGGTAAGCCTGCTTGGTAAAACCAAGCGAATTTAAGGCAGAGAGTGCATTACTTGTTTTTCCAATGGCACCATCCTTAGCCAAGAATACGACTTCAGCCACTCATACACATCATAGCCCGTTTTAAAGAGCAAGCCCGTTGATACATCCATACATTCATCCAAAAATTGCAATTTTGACCTGAACCAGATATCAAACAATCTTCAATTCAGTACCCCCAGAGGTTTTGATTTGCTATGGTAACTTAGAGAACTTTTTTATCCGACAGATTTAACGTGTTGCAGTCACCATTTACTACACGGAGAGTCTTCGGCTAGCTAGGATCGAACTCACGACCTCTTGTACATGGGCCCAACGCCCTACCAACCTGGCTATCCCGGCCTCCATTTACAACTCAATGCATTAATACATTTCGGACCAATGATATTCCTCTTCTTATTAAGTAAAATATGCATGACATGGGTACCAAACAGTCATAAAAATATTCGTTATCTTTGTTCCAATTTCGATGCTTTTCAAGGATTTTTGAGCTAACTAATTTCCAAGATAGATTTTTTCCGACTTAGACGAATTACGGAGTTCCTGTGCGCTAAGTGAGCACCTTACTCCTTCATCTGTACCAGCAGGCAACTAAGATAATGGAAGTAAGTGTACATTTTTTCCACCGAATCTGATATTGAGCTCTAAGAACTAGTTTTTAATAAGAGGTGGTTTTTAAGAGTTTGACTAAAAGAGATTTAGAGATTAAGAGATTGATTTAGTTTCAGACGGTAAATACTCGAACGTCGGATATAGCCTACATGATCCTGCATATCGACAAAAAAATCGAACGACTATAACCGTTATTTGCGGCAAACGTCTTGAGTTATTCAGTTTATAACAATAATAAGCAAAGAAGAAAAGAAAAAGATGGGGCTCTTTTGCATTACATTAAAATTTAAAAAATATAAACAAGAAAATCATATCAAAATCATAGCAAACAATAGGCAAAATTTTGAGAAAATTTTTGTTATAATTTGACTTTTAATTATAATAATTTAATTTCAAGCCACATTTATTGATTTATTTATATTTTTATTCACAATTATAAAACAACTGTTGTATAAATATTATGCAAATAATAACTATACAGTTATTAGTGAAATATTTATATTATTTTATAAGGTAAGTATAATTTTGTGTCATACAAATATATTTTTGAATTATGGAATTATATTTAATATACAAAAAAAGTGTTTTGTTTACATCATTTACTTGTGAAAAAAACTAATTTAATAAAAATAGATTTGTATCGTTATTATAATTAATTATCTTAAGTAAACCGTTATATAACTATTATATAATTAATTATCTCCGTTATAATTAAAATTTTAGTATAATTATGCTTTGAATATTGTTTTAGAAACATTGCATCGTGTTTAGTATGCAGAATAATCTACTTACAAAGAACACCTGATGATTTTTTTTAATAATTAAAGAATAACTTACGTCTGACTTACAAATATGTTATCAAAAATTAGTAATTCGCAAAAACATATATGAGTTGAAAATTGTAATAAAATTTCATTCTCATTTCGAAAACATTTTTTTTCTTGAAAAGCTTCGAACAATCAAATGCTATTTTTCACACTTTACTACGTGTTTAGCAGTTTGAGAGTCTTCTTGCCTACAGCAATTTGCGTGGTTGACAACGATATGATTTAAATGATTTTTTCACTGAACACAACTGAATAAATGATTTGGATTAATTATACTAAAAGGTAAACTTCTTCTTAAATTGTGAAAAAACGTTTACATTTTGTAGAACTTTTTGTAAAGAGTCGAATTCATTAGGGAAAAATCTTAAGCAAATACGATCATAAAAAATTTTTAAGATGTCATAAATTTCTCTTCAACCGAGGTCAAAAGTTAATCGAAATTAACGACCAGTGATGTAGAGTGCAATTAATATGTTTTATTTGCAGCTAAAGACATATTTTTATGAATTACCTTGAAAATCGCAATTTTTGGTATATATTTGAATAGATCCAGCTTTTAACGCGCCATTCTCTAAACTTGCTCGAAGAATTTTGCATCGTTTTTATCAATCACTGATTATGAAGGTAAAATGCTATTTCTTTTACTTTTTTTACGCATGAGATATTTCTTATAGTGTATTCTTTATACTCAATTTAACGTTTCTTTTTGTTTTGATTCAAATTTAATTAAGTTTCATCCGCAATTGTTTTATTGTTGTGTAATTGTAGACTTACGCTTTGGTGTCTGAAAAATGTTAGTGACAGAATGTATTTTTGACACTAAATGCAACGTTATTTTGTACACTAAGTAAATTTGGTGTCTGATGGAGGCTATGAAATTTCGGTTTTTAAGTACCAGACTAAATATTTTGCTCGCCTCTATCATTAAAAGGGGAAACTATTCTCAAAATGCTAACTGATGTGGAATAAGGAACGTTTTGGTAGCCAAAACTATATAAAAAAATATAGAAATTGAATAACTGAAACAAATTTATTGTTAAAAAAAGCAATATATTACTAAAAAAAGTTCATTGATTATGTTCAAAAAGTTTCTTATCCACTTATCAATAAAAGTCATTAACCCTTTACCCTTTAGAACAGCAGATGCCTGTTGCAAATTTTAGTCAGTCAGAGTATTTTTTATTGCATAAGCATATTTTTCTTCTTTGTTCCTTAAGGAATATTCTTTCGTTCGTTCGTTCGTTGTAGTGGAACTGGGCGTCTGAGGCCTTGCGGCCCTTTTCCCATTCATCCTGAAACTAGACTAGGAAACATACATGACAAAAATAAAGTTTGGGGGCAAAAGGGAGTTAAGGAATAATCTTTCTTTGCTTTACTTAAATAATCTTAGCACCTGGGCCACGAAGCAGCCCCTATCCCATTCATCATTAAATTACATACAGTAAGATAAAATACATTGATTTGGCAAACATTGTGGTAACCATAAAAAATCAAGCCGCTTGCTTGAGAAATAATAAATGCGTAAAATAACTTTAAAAAAAAGGAAACAAAAATTTCCTAATATGANTACATATGAGATATTCCTTATAGTGTATTCTTAATACTCAATTTAACCATTCCTTTTGTTTTGATACATATTTAATTAAGTTTCATCCGCAATTGTTTTATTGTTGTGTAATTGTGGATTTACGCTTTGGTGACTGAAAAATGTTAGTGACAGAATGTTTTGACACTAAATGCAATGTTATTTTATACACTAAGTAAATTTGGTGTCTGATGGAGGCTATGAAATTTCGGTTTTTAAGTACCAGACTAAACATTTTGCTCGCCTCTATCATTAAAATGGGAAACTATTCTCAAAATGTTATCTGATGTGAAATAAGAACCGTTTTGGTAGCCCAAACCATAAAAAGAATATAGAAATTGAATAACTAAAGCAAATTTATTGCTAAAAAAAGCAAAATATTACTAAAAACAAAATATTACTAAAAAAAAGTTCATTGCTTCCAATATTATCCACATATCAATAAAAGTTATTAACCCTTTACCCTTTGGAACAGCAGATGTCTGTTGCAAATTTTAGTCAGTCAGAGTATTTTTTATCACGTAAGTATATTTTTCTTCTTTGTTCCTTAAGGAATAATCATTCGTTCGTTCGTTCGTTGTAGTGGAACTGGGCGCCTGAGGCCTTACGGCCCTTTTCCCATTCATCCTGAAATTAGACTATGCTTATACATGACAAAAATAAAGTTTGGGGAGCAAAATGGAGTTAAGGAATAATCTAGTCCTAGTGTTTTGATTTTATTGGGCGCCTGGGCCGCGAAGCGACCCTTATCCCATTAATCTGGAATTTTAACACTGTTTTGGTTGAGCATTGAGGTAAGCAGGCAGTGGAGTTGCTCTTAAGGAATAATCTGAAAATTGGTGAGCGCTTAGAAGCAAATAGTTTCATATTTCCGACGGTTTGTAACATTTTTGGGTTAAGTGTTAACAGACTGGCAACAGTGCACCGGAAAAGGTTAAAATACAAAATATATCAGGAAACTAAGACATCAAAAATGTTTTATACTTTTAAAACTTCGTATTTATTTGTGTAACTCTGCCACTTGACACTGGAATACCATTTGTCAAATTCAGGCCTAGCGTCAAATTCTGGGGAGGGAGTCAAGAGGAAGAAATTTTGGGCAAATCATGAAGTTTCACAGTATTTAAAGACGTTTTCCGTTAGCTGTCTTCCCTCTCTTGAAGCCTCTGTCACAAGAAACTGTGATCACTGGTGGAAAAGCACAAAAATTTTATAATTAGGAGCATGTTCGGATATCTCGCTCAGCATTCATCACTTTTAAACTTCTCAAGCATCTGAATTCTGCCTTGAATTCTGCCCACTCTGTCAACTCGAAATCCACTAATTTATTTAAATGGATTTGGATTTAAGACTATGGGGAGTTACTTTATCTCCTTAATATCAAATGTAAGAACTTTTCTTTAGAAGTTCAACCTGAGATGTCAAAAACATGCAGAGATGTTAACACAGTTAACACATGTCTGTTGACATAGTCTACATGTCTGTTGACATAGACTCATGTAACACATGTCTGTTGACATAGATTTCAGTCTTTCTGTGATACGCATCTTTTGTATATTCAGTTAATCTACCTATCAAAGTCATACACTTTTACTCCTTATTTATAATTTACTTCAAATGAAAACTAACAACTCTAGGAAAAACATGGTAGTCTGATTTGAAACACAACACTTTATAAGGCAAATCTTACTCGCCAGTCTTAAATGTTTGGTCACCAATGGCGAGTGGAAAATTTGCACCCTAGTTTAATAAGTTCCAATAAATGTAATTCTTGCACTTAATTCATCTTTATTTGATACATTGTTAAATTTAGTGCCTAACGAGTTCCAGTAAATGTAATATCTACTCTAAATGAGTAAAATAACTAAAAAAAGGAAACAAAAATTTCCTAATATGAAAGGAAAAATTTATCTATTTACTCTATAATTTACTCTGTGTTTTAAATCAATCATTTGTCTTTGAAATAGCATTTATGACAATCACCCAAGGCAGTAGCATATCTACTAATTGCGGCAAAGATATGCTTTTTAAAATAATTTTTTATTTTGAGTATGGGCTTTTCAATTTCTAAATAATTCTAAATATTTAAATTATTTCAGTTTCGTAAGAAATGAATACTGCATCTCATTTAAGCAAGTCTATAAATGGGGGTTAAATCCATCTTTCTTTATCAAAACAAGAGTAATACAGGATTCCGATGATTCTTAAAAATATTTAGTAATGGTAACGAAATTAGATAAACCTGGATTATTTTATCCGTTGGTGACCATCACTATAGTTTACTTTGTAAAAAAAAATACATCAATACAATCTCAACTTTATTGTAAAAAAAAGCATTTTAAAAATAAAAATAAAAACTTAAAACTCTTAAATTTCTCTGAAACCCGCGGGAACCTTTGTTACAAAACAATAAAGTGTTTTTGAAAATAAATGTCTCAAGGACATTTCAAAAAACAACAAAAAAACAATAAATTACAAAACTCAATTACAAATTTTCAAACATTGCGATCCTTGTATTTAAAAATCACCCGTCCGACCAAAGAAACAGTCGGTAAATATGGGCTTAAATTGATAGTAAAGATATGTTAAAAGCATCTTTCTAAAAAGGTGGTTCGTTTATTCAAAAAGGAAAAAAGTTGAAGTCCAAGTGATTTATTCTTATAATTTTATTTTCGGAAAAGATATAGTTCTGTGTACGATACTATATTTATATTTGGATCAGCTTAAGTGGTAGTTAACACAAAAACATATCCACTTGGTGTAAATAGATGTGTACAGCCACTTCTTTCATTTAAATGTTTTTCACGCATAGATCTCATTTTACAATACGGCAGTAATGGTTTTACAAAAGATATGTTCCAATGGTTGGTAACAAAATTTTAAAACACATCACATTTTTATAATCTTTTCATCAGAACCTAAAATAATGAGTCTCTGTTCTGTTTAACATTTTACATAGTTATTTAATTTGTTTCAATGTAGTGAGTGACAAATGTCTTTCAGTTCCATTTTATTGAGTTACAAAGGTGGATAGCAAACATTACATTTACTATCACAAGGAAAATTATTTCCTGATACTACGGAAACTCCGTAGTAAATCGAGGATATTAGTTAATACTGCTTAACCCATTTTTGCTATAGTTAGCCACTCTCGGCTATAATGAGCTGTAGGGAACTAGGTAGCTTCATTAGGTGGGCTTAAATGTTATGATAAAATTCTGGTTCTTTAACCGTATTAGGTGAAAGCAGTTAATGAATGGTTTTTCTCACAATTAACAGTTTGAATACCATCTTATTAACGGTTATTTAACTATTTTGATTGAAAATGGTAACATACCAGTTAAGCAAATTGTTATTTAACCATTTTTTTCGAAAAATTTCTAACAGTGTGTATTAATATATTGATCTGAATATGAATATCATGCTTTATTTAAGATAAATTTCAAAAATAAAATATGAGAAGCAAGGAATAAGATATTACCTTTTATCTTTTTTAAAAATATACATGGGGGCGCTTGTGTGTAAACATTGTGTTATATAGGTTAATGTCCTTAGCATTGATCTTAACAAAAATATTTTATTTACTGTGTATTTTTACAGGTTTTAATTGTTTTTGCTGCTTTCCTGGTCGCTGTCTATGCACAAGGGGTAATTATAAAAACTTTATTACTTAATATTTCGTAATGAGGAAGACAACGTATTTGGCAACCCTCCTCACCCGACTTCTCACATTTAATCACTTATCTGCCGGTGTTGTCTTGCTTTTGGATCCGGACTTTTACCTGCCGGACTCTCATTTTGCAGTAATAGTCGAAGTGTCGTCATGAAAAAAGTGGTACCAGCGCTGCGCTTAAATTAAATGAGAATTTTTTTAATTACCTCCTCATTTGACTAGAGACGAAGCAACTGGTTGCTTTTAGAGCATAATATAAATCACAAGATATACAATTTTATATTATTTACATATTCTGGTTGATGTGAATATTCAGCTTCTCAAATTATAAGTGCTATAAATGAAATATGTCAGTGGCCCTTCTTTCACATTTTTAAAAAGAAACATGTTCCAAAATATGGAACATTGGCATTTAAAGGGACATGGAGTCTTAAAATAGGTAATTCCTGCTAGCTTTCTGAAACCCGTATATAATTTATTCTATGGTCTACATGCTTCAAGGATCGATAACTGCTTCATTTTCCAGGCCTGCCAACTACTACGCTTTTTGAGAAATATTTCATAGAATGATAGACATTTAAAAACCAAAGCTTTAAGAATTTTTAGTAACTTTGCCAACATTTTAAAAGTTTCATCAAGAGAAAGCTAAAACAAAGTGGCATTGCATATAAATTTTTATTTTTAAATTATTTATGTGTAGTAATGTAACATTTTCTACAGAATACGTAGGTAGTTGGAAACCCTGATTTTCAGCAAAAACTTTTACGAAATGGTACAGAAGCAAACAATTCATTTTTAAAAATTACTATTACTTCTTGAAAGACACTTGACGAGTTAAGTATAACGAAGTGTCATTAAATATATTTGCGTAAATGTCATGATGAGCAAAATAATTTTATGTCAGATTTACTAACTAAATCCAATAATCAATTATTAAAACAAAACATTTTCTTTCAACGGATAATGTTTACCCAAAAAAAGTTTAGTGAGTTAATATTATCGAGTCTTTGAGTAACTTTAATCTATTCACTACGAACATTGCATTTTCTAAAAAATAGTATTGATGCGTAATGCAAAAAAGTTCCTTTTTTTATGAAAAGGGTTTATAGTTAGCTCTAATGCTAAGTTGATAATTTTTAATCTGACTTACTATAAATTAAAATTACGATAAATTCTTAATTTCATATCAGTGTATTATTATACTTTTATTGCTAGGGTATTCAAAGGTTCACGATCTTTGTTCCCTCAAAGTGAATTTTAAAAAAAGTAAGTTAATAGCATTTATTTTTTGAAAAAACATACACAAAGAAGTGCGAATTTTGGCGGTTAACGCACAGATTTTTTGAAAAAAACCGGTCAAAAAAATCTAGTTTTTTTTGTAAAAAAAAACACACTTTAGAACATTGTCTTTTCTTTCGGTGGACAATTTTGATACACCGCTCTTTGGTTCCATGATAAAAGGCTATATTCTGAGATGCCAACTGCTCAGGACTCACCAAAATAATTTTAAAAAAAACGTTAAGAACTACTAAGTAAATTTTTTTGCTTGCTTATTAAAAGGTATAGCAAGATGTAAGTACTGGCATGGCCTGTCTGGTAGGATTGGGCATCTGAAGCTATGAAATACTGGAAACTTGCGCAGAAACTGGTTACAGAAAAGTCATATGATTAAAAAGTGGTAAATTATATAAACCTACGAATTATTTAGAAATAGTGGTGAATAAAAAGCTATTAAATTGAATTTATTAAACCGAGAATCATAATTGATAAACTACCACTTTAAAATATATAATTGCTGTCCGGAGGAAGTTGGCATATCTGTATATTTTATTCTTGAATAAATAAGTGGTGTAGCTTACAATCCTAAGTAAATGATACATATAAACAAAAGATTTTTTTTCTTAGCTTTCACATTGTTATTTTCAATTTCCGATTATATTCGAGTGTGAAAAATTATAGCAAGATAAAATACAAAACCGCTCTAATTATCTCGAGTGTGCGCAGTTTGGCTTGTTTAGCGCGCTCGAATTCACTCGAGAGCAAAAGTTAAGGGGTTAAAGCAGTGTTTCCCAACGTGGGGCCCACGCCCCACTGGGGGGCAATTTGATTGTAAAGGGGGGCAATTCAAAAATGGACTCAACATGAGTTTAAATCTTTTGCTCTGGGCCATTTAAATGCAATGCGAGATTTCGGTGACAAAATCGAGAGAAAAAAGCAAATTCTTAAATAATTGCGGTCAATAAATATTATGTGACTTAGGGATTTTTAAGGCGACAAACCTGAAATGAAGTATCTGTTTACAGTCGATGGTAAAGCATTTGAGAGTTATTTGGCCAATATCTTTGAAAAACTGAATATATTAAATAAGAAACTTCAAGGAGCAAATAAAACTCTTGTTGATGCAAAAGCGAAGATATTTGGCTTCATTACCCTTATTGAGTTATGTCAGAAATATATTAATAACAAAAACTTTGAACAGTTTCATTGGCTCCAAAAATGTGAAGTAAATGATACCGCTTTACTTGTTATTGTCTATCATCTGAAAATTCTATCGGCTGATTTAAAAGAAAGATATTCTGATTTAAAACAAGTTTAATTTCCAACATGGATGTTGCATTCCATGTTAGTGGATTTGCCTGATATATCAAATATATCAAGAACTTGCAGAAATGCAAAATGATTAGTCAGTTAAAACTTTATTTAATATGAAAGGAGTGATGTCATGGCTTCGTGAGGAAACAAAAAACAAATACCCAATTTCAATCAAATGTGCAAGAAAACTATTGTTACCGATTCCATCTTCATATTTAGCTGAATGTGGATTTAGTGCTGTAAATGATTTTATTGGTAAAAAAAAGAAATCGTCTGGATATAACACAACGGGGAGACTTGAGACTGAAGCTAACCAAATTGGAACCTAAGATAAAATCTACGAGCAGCAAGCAAGCATCAAGGGCAAGAATCTCACTAAATTAAAATATTAAATTATTATCGAAAAATCTTTATTAAAATTATTTCGAATTTGAATTTTTCATTATATATTCTGAAAATTTACTTATTTTGTTTCGCTAACAGTTTCCGAAGTTTCTTAACCCTTTCGCGCCGACTGTCACAAATATGTGACAGCAAAAAACCGTATCAATCAGGGTAAGAAGATAAAACTGGTAATCAAAGTATTTCTTTAGCAGTTTATTTGTGGGCGGAGTTATAACTTTTTTGATTTATTTAATTCACCATTACTTTGTTCAAAATAAAACTATTTAGTTATGCTTTGAATTAACATTGATTATATATATGATTAAACTAACAATAATTAAAATAAAAGCAAAGTAAGTCTGTCAAATTAGCAACGACTACATTTAAGTTACCGTTTTTTATTTAATTGCAACTTGATTCTGATTTTGTACGAATGCTTTTCTGAATCACCCGTCCCCAAGGGGTTAAGTGAACAGTTCGATTTTCCAATATTAAAAATTATGTATATGTTACATAGGGGGGTATAAGAATTTTAGAAAGGCTTAGGTGGGGCATGGTACAAAAAAGGTTGGGAAACACTGGGTTAAAGGATTACCTTTCTGAGACCTAAGGTACACATTTGGTCAATTCCCAATACGACACTTGAAAATTAAAGACTAACGTTTTTCGAGTCCAATTCCCCTTAAAGTTTTATAAAATCTTGTATCATCCTGCGCTTTGCATTTCTATATTTTTTTGCCAGTTATGGATACATCAGATTACGTACGATATCCCAAATTTCACTACTACTTTAACCCGTTTTATCCCAATTTGTTACATTGAAAGGGTGCAAAAAGTGGCTTTATGAAAAAAGTGGTATGATATGTAATTCAACTAAATTGCCAATATAAACTATTTGTTACCATTTCAGTACGAAATGTCCCAGCACCTTATAGTTATACATCTAGTGATAGAATCACTAATAAATTATGGTGGAAAGGAAACTTTTAATTCTCCTAGATAAAAGACAAAATTAAAACAATAGTCCTACCACTATATATATGTTTTGAAAAAAGAAACTGCCCTATAAATAAGACGCTGGTAGCTGACAGGTTAAATTCTTCTTATTGTTACAACATAAGCCGACGCAAGTCAGCTTATTTTTTTGTATTGGTTTTCATGGTTGAAAAGAATAGAAGCGCTGTCATAACATTAAAATTATATTACGTTTAAATTTATGTAAATAGTGGTATTTGATTCTTTTCTAAATTTGGCTTTCACGTTAAATACAAACACAAAATCTTCCGGAAAGTCCTAAAGAGTTACATGACCATACTGCTACCTAAACTTCAACTGAATTTATTCAGTGGGGAACTTTAACCATTTGCGACCTTCTCCTAACCTTCAATAAGTAAATTTTAATAATAATAATAAATAAGAATTTAATAATCAATATGTATCGTTTCTCACATGAAGCTGGGATAGTTCTCAGTGAAATGAACTTATTCAGTTTTAAAATGAATTATTTATAGAGAAAGAAGTAAAGAAAATTATTTTTGTGCCATTAACTCCCTCCAGTTGTTTCTAAAATTCCATCTATATCACTCATTCTCATATGTGGTGGTTATCTTAGCATCAGCCCGCTAGGGGAATTCATCTGAGTGGGAATAAATAATAAATCGCCGAAGAGCAACTGAATGGTGAAAGTTTCCAGCTATTTCAACTACAGCAGTATTGGTAGCTGTCTATTTATTTAACTGAAGTAACGGTATAAACGAAATTAATGACAGATACTTAGTTTTATAAATACTGCTACCAATTATTCTTTTAATATAAAAATTAAGTTAATTATTAGATTGTTTTTATCGACTACTTTTAAATGTTATTGGAATAACTAATAAAATAACTGATACTAAGTGAATTCATTCAATATGTATTCATTTTAAATTCTGACTATGTTAGCAGCGATGCAAATTTGCTCAAGAATGCTGATAAATATTTTTGAGTGGTAGTCTTTTCATGTATGATTCTTGGTTTAGTAGATTCGATTTACAGGATTTTTTACTCACCACTTCCCTTAAATAAAATCAAAGGCTTATATTAAAACCATCTTGTTTCAGAACAACCGTGTTGAGCCATTATTAAAGCTGGCAAAATTGACCGAAAATATACAGTTTCTAGTTTGCAGATCTTTACCATTTTTCATAATATTTCGCCAAATCCGGTGTAGTTGGCATCTCTAGGTTTAAGGTTTCAGTACTAATTGCAAATTATTATAGATTCAGATACCAACCCAACCCTAACGCGTATAAAGCACAAAACTTAGATGTATTATTTATTTTATGTGCACATATGTTGAAAAATTGTAAGTCTTATTAACATTATATGTCAAACCGAAAACAGTGTGCAGAAATGCCAATTTACTCCGTTTTGACATTTTCCAGCGGTATCGAATTTTAAAATGCTATGACTTTAGTAAATTTTATTTTAAATTATTTTTCCACCCCTACCCATAAAAAGTTCGAAGCTTCATACAGAATACGACTTAGGTACAGTAGCTCGTCACTCAGATGAATTAGAGCCCCTCGCGGGGCTGATACTAAGATAACTACATATGAGTATAGTATCTCGTGGATAGACTATGATGAGTTGGCGAAATTATCCATTGTTCTACAAGTTTTACTTTTTAATTCGTTACCAGATTATAAAAACTTTCGCACAAGGCGGAGCAGTTGGCATCCCGGGGTATGTTGGGAATAATTTTTAAAACGTAAATTTGTTCAGATAAATCTATTAGCCTTTTCAGATTTTGTATCTCTGGTGGGAAAATTGTGCTTAAAATGGTAACTAAATTTTGGTAACTGTACATACTTTAAAGAGGGGGTTACGAGCCTCATGCGAATCTTGCGATTTGAAGGAATTTGGTACTCAGTTAACCGGTTCCCAATTACTACGCTTTTTGCAAAGTTATGGTGATGGGCAATTAGAAACAAATCTTTCATAAATTTTGGTAATTTTTCTATTATTTTAAAAGCTTCCTGAAAGAAAGGGGAAAGGAAGTGGCTTTTTCATAAACTTTTGAATCATTTACAGGTAGTGGTGGGAAAAAAATTAACTCTAATTCAAATTTCCAAAACAGAAAAATCATGCATTAAAACATAAACTTAGCTACCACAGTAAAAAAATTTCCAAAAAAGAAAAAAGGTTGGCAACCCTGCACTAATATCTACCAGCACTTGACGTTTTTGAGGAACTATACGTTTATTGATAATGAAGCAAGGCTTGTATTTATAATTGAAAGCAGGAAATTTAAATTTTTTTTCCTGCACGTAATCATTCTTCAAATGATCAGCTGACATTTTACATTCATGTTTAAACAAATCAGATATAATGGTGGTTAATATAATTTTCGATAAAATGTATTAAATTAAGAATAAAATGAATTTTGCTATAACTTTATATGTAAAAAAACCTTCTCTGGAATCTGGAAAAAGTACATTTTTGCTAAAAACCTTATGGATTAGATTACATTGGTGGAAACTTCAAAATTCATTATGCAAAACTAAAGACGAAAGTTAACATTATGTTATTTTAAAAGCGTTTAGAAAATATAATAATCGAGTTTTTAAATTTTCCAGATCGTGAATAACCTCAAAATGTCAGACAAATGTATACCCCGGATCTCAATCATTACTATCTCACTTAATTCAGAGTTTAATTCTTTCAGCCTATCCAGTATGCTCCCATACCATATTCATTCAATTATTTAGCACAAGGTGATGAAGGATCAAGTGGCCACCAAGAATCTGGAGATGGTGCAGGAAATGTTCAAGGATCGTACACTGTGACAGATTTAGATGGAAGGAGCCGAGTGGTTGAATACGTAGCAGATGCTGGTGGTTTCCGTGCAGTAGTAAAAACAAATGAACCTGGAACCGATAACAGCGCCCCAGCTAATGTAATCGTAGAATCAAGTTCACCAGACGCCAAAGGACCTATCATAAGATACAGTAATGAAGCAGCTCCAACTCCAGTAAGACCTGCTGTCCGACGACAACCTCAGGGTGTCCGCTATGTACTTGTTCCAGCCAATTCTCCAATGAGTCCGTGGGTCGGAGGATATTAATGTCTTGTAAAAAGAAGTTATATAAATTGATTTGGTGTAAATTGTTTATTCCTTTTTGTTATGTTATGTTTAGTGTAAAATAAATTGAAATTCAATCATGTTCTTATTGCGTTATTACTTTTTTTTCCTAGCTGTTGCGGAAGGTGAACTGAGTTAAAAGTCAAAACACTTGAAGGTCTTGAACGGAAACATGGAACTCATAACTAAATTTTGAAAGAAAAAAATAATAATAATCTAAATCTATATATTGATTATATTTTCAAACCTATTTTTATACTGATATTAGAAATATTTTTATATCTGAAAACGAAATTATTATTATTAGCATTGAATTGCCCATCTATACGGGTTACTTTAAGATTTAATTATATTGCCTTACAATTTTAAAACCAACTAAGAAGTTTATTCAAAAAAAAGGGAAAGAAAATCTAGTACCAAAAATAAAGAAAGACAATTTCATTTCAGCTGACTTACATCTATAGATAAAAATAGCTCGGTTAAAAATGCATAAAAAATTAATTTAAACATAACTTTCATTTATTACTTGACCTTAATCATACATTTCATATGTATTTATGTTTAATAAAAGAAATTATTTAAATAATTATGATAAGAAGGATGCTCTTGTATCAGACAAACAGATATAGAATTGTTTCGATACTTTTATACTTAAATGTATAACTTATGCATATTAGTATGCATATTGAATATGCATTTCTTATTGTAAAAATAATATATTGCATTTATTGCGATTCAGGGATAGTACTTTAATTGAAATAAACTGAAGTCAGAATTTAAGCTTTAACTTCTTACTTACAACAGCTCAACAGCTGGGAAGACGAAAAATGTTTCATCACATATTTTAGTGGACTGCCAACTTTCAACGCTTTGTTTGGAAAAAATTCTAATGGTAGCAAATATTAAGTTTTAATGAAAGATTCTTCGCTTAAAAATTAGATTTAAAGTAATTTTCCACACCCGCTATGTTTAAGTGATTTAAAAAATTTTAGACCACTAAAAATTAAAAATTTATGGCCACTAATTTCCGGCTTTTTCGAAGTAAAGCATTTAAAATGTTGGCGAAATTACCCATCATTCTGAAAACTTAAGTTTTTAATTTACCAAGCTATAAATAATTTGCAAAAAGAGCAGTAGTTGGAAGCCCTGTTTTTTAGTGAATACTACAACTGATGTTGTATCATTCACTATATTAACAGAGCTACTAACTCAACTCTTTTCGGGAAATATTCTAAAGCTTTCCGAATTTCAGGTAATTTTACCATTTTTTTAATAAGTCTGATGTCGAAAGATGCTTTAATATGAGTGCTATTTTCGAGGTATCTGCCTTACGGCACTAGCCTCTTCAATGAAGATATTTGCCATAGACAACGAATGAATAATATCGAAACTGAAAGTACACTGAAATGAAATATGTACAATTACAAAAAAGTAATCCAAATAATATGAAATAATCTATACAAGAACGATAGCGAAAAAACCCGAGTATTATATAAAATATTTACGAAGTCGAATAAGTAGCATTTACTAATAGAGAAACTAATACAGGTGTAGATTTTTAGGAGGTAATCGATGTGATAAATCTTAAGGGAACTAAGTGGCGCTTGTTGCATACTTTTTAATTGTTCGCGTGTAGTGATGGGTTAATTAACTTCTAATTAAATCTAGAAAGCAAAGATTAAAAGTTATGGAAATGAATATTTTATTGCTCGTTTTTTTCCCTTCCCGTATAAGTTGAAACTCTAAATAAAAATATTGCTTTTGATTACTTTTTTTTAAAAAAAGTGTTCTTTTTTTTAAATTATGGAGTGCCAAAATTTTAATTTATGTTACTGTCATAGGTATCTAAATTATTTTCAGAAAAGTCGTTATTTTTATCAATTTTTACAATTAAACAATTCAGCACATGATGGCGATGTATCAACTATGTTGTTAACTAAAATTTAGCTAACCACTAGCTCACAATCTTAGTTGACCAGCTCACTATGTATCACTCGGAGAAACCTTTTTAGATTCTGCAATAGCATATCTGCCAACTCTTTAGGAAGATTCTTTTTCTGCATTCGTTTTGAAATTTTTTTGAATTCACTAGGATGTTAAGGGTGACTAAAAATGGAAAAAAGTGGTAGAAACTCAATTTATTTCAATCGTAACTACCACCAAGATTCACGTTACAAATCAACCATACTGAAAGCGAAAACATTATTTTCATTTATTAAGCAGCTGGTGATCTCGTGGTTTCAATCGATTTGGACTTGGCAATCGATTATGGATTGGAGTCCTCACTTACTGGCTTTGACTTGAGTACTTCAACTATTGTCATTCGCTCATCGACCGGGATTCATGGACCTTGCATTCAAGATTTCGGACCATTTCATGCTGACTGCTGATCGACCATTTTCCTTTTCGAGTGAGTAATACGTATTTCATTCTCTTGCAATTATGTTTGGATGTAGCAAAGGAGGTAAAGTTTAGATTTGACCATTTCATTTTAATTACTGCAAAAATGCTATCTCGGCGCTGCGGACGTGGCGGCAAGATTACTCACACGCTCATCAAGAGAATTGTAATACCGGTGATATATCCCAACTACATAAAGCCAGATGCTAAGCCCGGTGAAATTTTTGAAGATGAATATGGACACTTCCATTGCTGGTCCAAAAGAGGAAGTTATTGCACGCTCAGCGATTTTAAAGTGCCCGAAGGAGCTATAAGACCATATTATTCGGCCAATTCAATTCCGGTACCTCAACAAATTACGCCTGAAACGCCGACTACTTCAGCTGACGCCCCAGCTATGGAAATCAACGACGGAGACCAGT